TGTAGTTGTTTATAACAAAGATCATTGTTTACCTCACATTCAATAGATACTTACTAATTTGAGGTGTGGGTGTGGGTGTGTGGGTGGGTGTGGAGTGTAGGTGTGGGTGGGGTGTGAGTGTGGGTGTGGGTGTGGGGTGTGTGGGTGTGGATTATCGTTTTCTCTATCTCTTCATCTACACCCACACCCACACCCGCAAAGAAAGGTTCAAATTCTATATTTTTACCTTTTTTTCGCATCGCCGTACTTTCACATTATATATACTGAATTTTGTAGAAGCAAAGAAGAAAAGAAAAGGATTGCACAACATGCAAGCTCATACAACTCAAATATGATTTTTATAAGAAAGGAAAGAGACGAGCCGCGATCGGTGGCTAAGCACAACTTTGAAATTATGAGACAGAAGCATCAATTTCGGTCCTGGAGACCACGGTCATCGATCAATTTGATACTCGTCATTTTTTTTCTAGACTACTAGTTCCAGCTGAAAATTCTCTTTTCTCTAGTCTTTAATTCATTCTGTTTTTCTATTTTATCACTGAAAAAATTTCATCAATATACCGTAGCTATACTATGCCGCATGAAAAAAATCTCTTGAGAGTATTTTATGGTAGTGGGTGTGGGTGTGCGTGTGGGTGTGGATGTGAATGCATTGACAAAGGTTGACAGCCACACCCACACCACTCACCCACACCCACACACACCTACACCTACATCTTACTCTAATCATAATACGCTTCCTCCATCTATTTTACGTTTATCACACGTTTCCCTTTCTTTTTTTTACTCTAACCATACTCTTCTTTTGTCTATTTTACAAAAATCGTATCTTTTCCTTCCTTTTTTTATTCTAACCACATCCTACTTTCGTTTGTTTTACTCTAACCATAATGTAACCGAATTATAGCACTCTAAGCAGAATTCATGTTCAAGCGATTTCCTCTGAGCCATTCTGAGAGTATTCTATTTAGCGATAGTTTTGTAGTACCAATGAGTATATTTACCTAATCTATCTACATCTATACTCTATAAGAAGCTAGTAAGGATTATACTTGTATTTTCGCTCTTTGGCGATCATGTTTTTATATATTCATGCATAATATACATTTCATCCCATTTATGGCATTCCTGAATTTTGAAGGATGCAGTTATTGAAAAATGCTGAGTTGAGTGTCATGAATGGGATGAAATACACATTATGCATGAATATATAAAAACATGATCGCCAAAGAGCGAAAATACAAGTATAATCCTTACTAACTTCTTATAGAGTATAGATGTAGATAGATTAGGTAAATATACTCATTGGTACTACAAAACTATCGCTAAATAGAATACTCTCAGAATGGCTCAGAGAAAATCGCTCGAACATGCTTTTGTATAACAACAATGTGCCGTTTAAACACGTGAAAATAAAATATAGTTGCGTTTAATATCAATAAAACGTGCTTTAATGAGCGCGTTTTCCAATTGCTCGTCGTTTTTTTCGTGGAGAAAAGATGCATCCAGATGCGATTCAGGATAAAAATGGTGCATACAAACGCGTCTTTAGAAATGCGTTTTAGTTAATTTGTAGCCGTTTATACGGATATAAAGATGCGTTTCAACGCATTTTTAAAAGTGCGTTTAATATCTAGCGAAAACATGCGTCCTAAAAAAAGAACGCGTTTAAACACAATTTTCTTCAAATTTTTTTTTCGTGGGTATATTTGATGAAACTCTTGTCGAAGTTATTTGATTCTCCTTTGCCCTCGTTAGTTGTTTTTTGTTAGGTAAAACACATATTACTTTTAAATAAAGTTTATATCATGCAATATGTGAAGATTGCTCTTCTCTCTTTATCCAGTTAACATCGATTGTTCTGTTTTTGTGTACACCAAGGTAGAAGTTGTCACATGTGACGAATCTATTATAGTAGCTGTAATATTATTTTACAGCAAATGTGTTTTATATTTCACTTGTTTTGTATCTTGTTGAGATATAGAACGCACATAAATTGTCTTTTCCGCTATAGAATCGTTTACTTACGTTGAAGAAAAAGACGGCGAGAACATCACCAAAACCAGGAAATGAAAGGGATGAAGCAATATGTCCTTTGAGTGACGCACAAGTTCCATGAAAGATAAGAGATGAGAAAGAAGATCAAAGGAGAGAAGCCATTCTTAGAAAAATATATAAGAGCACGTTGGGCACCATTTTTGTTGTCAGGTGAATAATAAGCGAATTGTGGATATGGCTCATTCAAAAAACATTTTTGTTTTCCGAATTCTGCCTTTACTAGGAAATATAGTTAATTTTCAGGAAACTATATTGAAATTTGGAAATTAAAATAGTGACCTAAGTATTAAATGGAATTTATTTTAAGAACGTTTTAAAAGGTATTGTCGAAAAATCTAGAAAAATCCATTGATGTGAATGAAGTAAAATCAGCATGCAATCGATCGTACGAAGTCAACCAAGCGCCTCTCATTATTGTAGCCACCAAGAAAGAAACATGTCTCATTCTAAACATTTGTCTTCTCTTTCTTGAATAGAGCTACGTACTTCTATGGCTTGACATTTTTTCTACATATCTTTATTCTAGATTTAGCGGCATATTCTTTCAAGAAAAAGGTTTCATCTCAGAAATACTTGTGTTTCATTTTCTTCTCACCATCTCACTTACTTTTTGAACAGAATGTATCAGTCATCGTTCTGTTTTTTTTTCTTCTAGCAGAATATATTCTAAATTATAGAAGGAGAAGTAATTACAGATTTTTATTAATATTAACATATCATGTTAATGATATGTTGTTTATGATAACATTTATTTCTGTCGTGTTAATTACCGAAGACGAGACAATTCATTCATTATGTACCATCGTAAGTATTATAAAGAATGTAATGATGAAGGCTTTCGAATTTTAGAAATACTTTGACAATGTCTACTACTACACTCAACTATGAAATAGCTCGTCTTCAATCAATCGCAAATATTTTTGATGGTTATGTAATGTTTGTTCCCTTCATTTTGGGTACTGTAGGTAATTTGTTAAATATATTTGTCTTTATTTATCTAAAAGAACTTCGTTGCATGCCGAATTCTATATTTTTGGTCAGCTCATTCATCGGCAGTCAAGTTCTTTTATGTGCATCCCGTTTTCCTCGATCTATACTCGCTTTAGCTAATATTGATCTATTAGCTATTTCAGCAATCTATTGTAAACTACGATGGCTACTTGGACGTTGGGGTCTGAACATGCTATTGACATGTGTATGTTTGACCAGTATCGATCGTTTTCTTATCACTTCACGTAATGTACGTTATCGTCAGTTTTTCACTGTACATCGAGCTCTTTTCATTGCGATTATATTCAGTATAGTATATCTATTTATCTGTATACTAGATGCCATTTATTATAAGGAACCTTCATGCACCGCACCGACAAGTTCTCGCTTTATATAAAAGCAGTTTATTGCCTATTTTAATTTGTCTATTACGAATGCTCTGTCGTTAGTTGTTTTGGCTTTGTTCAGTATACTCACATGGAATAATCTTCGATTTTCAAGACTTGTCAGACGCAATCGTTTTCAAGAACAAGTCAATCAAATGATGCTTGCTGAATTTGTTATCGTACTCATAACCACCATTGCCACTTTCGTATACAATATATATTCACAAGCCACACAATCAGTCATAAAATCTGAATTAAGACTTGCACAAGAAGATCTTTGGTCAACTATAAGTGCTGTTATTAATTTTACAATGCATACCGGACCGTTCTATGTCTATGTAATTGTATCTCGTGCATACAGACAAAATGTACGAACAGCCATATGTTTGAAAAAACGCCACTGTATTCAACCACAACATATACCCATTCAACATGAACAAATAGTTCATCTTCCTGGTACACGAACGACTCATTGACTATCAGATCCTTCATCAAGTCTATTTAGTTTTATTGATTTATATATTCTACATGATATAGAATATCCATTTTGTTAGTCATCAACACCATGTTTATAAGATTGTGATATAATTCTTGTTATTATGAATTTTTCATTCTCTTCTCTATTTGCGTGTATGTAAGGAGGCTTGCATTTATTGAAAAACCCATCTTGATGTTATACGTTGCACTATTTTTGTTTCATAAGAATAATACACCAGAAAGTGATTTCGAAAAATAAATGTTTGGATAAGTAGTTCAAGAGTGTTCTACTTTGAAATTCTCTGAGGGTGTGGGTGTTCATAAATACAAGATCCATCCACACTCATGCACACCCACATCCACACTCAAAGTCACCGTAAATGTTGAAGATTTTCGATGGAACGATGCTTTGATGTTCTGAGAAAAAAACGAAGTATAAAGCTGGTAGAAACAAATTTCGGTCTTTCGAATCTTAACTACCAGCAAGCTGTAGATTTTCAACGGATTGTGTGTTTTTTCACTATTTTTCAACGCTGTTTCAGCTGTACACATTAAGTGATTGGTCTGATGAATCACATATTTCATCTAGCAAATATTTTTCAATTACAAATAGTTCGATTCAATTTCATAGGAGTAACATCATTTTTATGAATGAAATTCCATCAAAAATGAATTAATAAATGAAATAAAACTGGGAAATCATAATATTTTTTAATTATAATATTTCTAAACCAGATGACTTTTCAATCAAAGGTTTTGTTTAGTATTTCCACTGGTTTTCCATTATTTCAAAAAAAAATCTTAACTTTTTTATAACCAAATTAAACACCGCAGAAAATATTCAAAAATTTCAAACTTCGAACTGTAAACATGATAAGAACTCAACAGATTAACTCGCTGTGCTTTGAAAGCATTGTTTCAATTGAAAATAAGATAAAATATTGTTAACAAGAAAGAAAAGAACAATCAAAATCAATTTACGTCAGAAACACACTAAACACACAAATGTGATAAATTATTTAACCTTAAAGGTCATACAATGAAATTTATTCGGGATGCACTTTTTCTCAGAATCCGCATAGAATTTGTCTAAGAAATTGCTAAGTCGAAGGACATATATTTTGTATTTTCATTGTATGTAAATGAAATTTCCCATGATAAATTTGATCCACCATGTTGTTTAAATTCTTTCTTAACTCGCGTGGAATTCGTACGTGACATTGTATCATCAACATCTTCGTATTCGATGTAGAATCTTTTCATTGTTGATGGTAAATATTTTCTCAATATATCATGCCATTGTGTACTATCAAGAAATGGGGGTTGTCTCCTTGGTATTGGAGTTTTCACTGGCAGTCGCGCACATGTGAATAGACTCAGAGTCAATAAAGTTTTGGATGTGGTAATTTGGATAAGTTTTTCAAATTTTTCCAATAGCACCAATGGATAATGATACACTTTGATGTGATGAAGTCTAACTGGATATGCCATTGATGTTTTCTCTCCTATTCGACTTCGATAATACTCGACATCCTGTGGTGGCGCTGCTCGTTTCATGGGCCTTATTAAGTCTTCAGGCATGTATATGGTTAACATGCTTAATTTTTGAAATCGATAAAGTAATGGTATCAAGCGTTTAATATCGAAAAGCCAAATTGTTAAATTTATGATAGTATCATTAACAATATTTGAAGGCATGTAAGTTATCACGTCAATTCCGTGTGAACATTCTAACTCCAATTTTTTTAAAGATTGTATTTCTGTAAGTAAATATCCGAATGATTGAGCAGCACGGTCACCAGGTCTGGTATATATCATACTACTGAACCTAATCTTTAGACTTATTAGCTGATCTTTGACATTGCTCAATATCATGGCTATTCGATTTTCGAATTCGCAAAGTGGCATGTCTAGTAAAGCAAGGGATTTCAATCGTTTTCCACTAGATGAACTAGAAAGTGTTTCCAATATTACGATATTTTTATATAATAATGTAATTGAAACAATATTTTGTTCACAAAATATCTGTTGGAATATCCGAAAAAATTGTGTTTTAGTTCGGGATAAATCCAGACAAACATTGGGTGTATTGCAGACAAGGTGATTGAATCGACTATTGAGACCATAGAAAGATTTGAAAATTGCATTGCCCGTTAGATAATCAAAAATATCGAAGATAATTTCGGATGAGAGTTGTTCAAGCGTTGTTACTGGATGCAAATGTTTACGGCGAGACGAATGAGTATTCTTTGGTTTAACCATTTTTTTCTGTCGTTACACACACAAAGAAATTCTCTCTTTTCGTTCTTTCTTAGAGAAACACAACAGAATTTATTTTCGCGAAGTATGAATCAATGTGAGTAAGTATGAGCGCACGTCAATACTTCTCTTCATACTCTGGCATTGATGACTCAACTCTTTTCTTCACGTCAGCATTTCTTCAAAAAATGAGCAGGCTGCTTGTTTACATGTATGATGTGATAGGTTTCATCAGATTTGTGCAATACAAAAATAAAGTAGTTGGAAGAAATGAACACTGCTGTACCTAGAAAAAAGATTTCCATTATTAATGGAAAGAAAAACGAGAACCGTGGAACATTTTTAGATAGCTCAAATAGGACTGGTCAATTAGATGTATTCGGTTGAAATAACGGTACGAGACTGACATTTGTTCTAATTTGTATTGACAACGATCGGCTTTTTTGTGAAGATGAATAATCACCCTTGTCAACGTCAGGCGAGTTTATCGAAAGTTTTTATTCGTGTTACTGAGAAAAAACTGCATGTTTAAAAACACGCCTTTAATCTCTGCATAAATGCAAAATAAATATGAAGATAAGCCAATGTTTCAAGAATACAATACGAATAACATGATAAGTGTATGAGTGACTTTAGATTGATTATAAAGTTTATTATTTTTTAACAGCAGCGAAAATGTGAACTTGAACAATGCCATACATACATGTAGAACTTGAAGACTTTAGTCGAGTTTTAAATTTCTACTCGAGTTTTAAAATTTATAATTCGAGTACTCGAGTTTTCACATATATGTTAACCTTGAAACTTGAACTCAATTGAAATTTCAACTTTCATTCTGGGTGCCACGAAAGCACTCCCACCACTTCTCTCTTATTGTGGGTGCGGGGAGGGACTCAGCCCACCTGTCTCTTGAAAGTTGAAAATGAAATTTGAAACTTGAAGAGGAGTAGTTCAATTGAATTCAAGTTTCAAGTTGGACACTACTGGCCTGAGGATGCTAGTAGGATGCATGAGGATGCTGGTAGCATTCCCGAGAATGCTACTAGTATTTCTGAGGATACTAGTAGCATTCTTGAGAATGCCTGGAGCATCCTCGAGTTCCAAAAAAACAGCTTTGAGGGTGAGTGTGGGTGTGAACAAGACGAAGCGCCACAGCCACACCCCACAAACAGAGCCACACCAGCCCCACACCCACACAAAAACCGATGTTGAATGGAGTGGTTCGTGGCCCGAAGTGGTTGGCACTCAGGTTTTCACATTGCTGTGAGTGGCAAAAGCTGTTTCTCTAACTTCTTTGCATAGGTGAATCGAAGCCTTCTGTCCTCGGTGTTATGAATCTTGCTGTGGTTGGAAGCCTATTATCTTTTTCGCTACCTGTTGCTGTCTGAGTAACTTGTTTCGAGCTTCACCTGTGTCGATTTGTTTGTCACTAGCAGCTTTTCTTCTGTTACTTTTAGTCACACCCAAAGTTTTTTATTACGTTCATAACCCTTTTGTGAGTAGTCTCATGATGTTTGCCGTTACATTATATTGATTTTGGTTCGTTGTCTCTATCGTGACTGAAATTGGTGAATAGAGCGGAAGAAAAAAACAAGTAGACGATGGGCAGTGTCTTGGCACTAAGTAGGTAACATTCAAAATGGTTTGTTTTTCTCTTGGAATCTTCTTAATAATTTACTCACCACGGTAAATTAATTGAAGCCGAAATGTTGTTAGTAGATTGAGTAATATTGTGTTGTTGATTGGAAAGTTTTCCGTGTTCCACCGTTTCTTGTCTGTATTTGAATGATTTGTTTCTTGCTTTTGCAGCATAGCAACACTTTTTGCTTGGTTTCTGGCTATTTAGCCTCATTTTTTTTTCATTTTTAATAAATTATTTTCAAACATGTGCTCTATTCAAAAGGACTGTTGATAGCAACAGTAAAACATTCAGAGGAAGAATGGACAAAAGCTTGATGACAAAGAAGAAAAAAGCATACTTGTTCAATGAAATCGATTGTAAATGGAGTAAGCAGATCAGTATTCATTTCAATAAAATTTGAGATGTGACAGTTAACAGAATATAACTCTTTTAAAAAAGTTGGTGCATTTTATTTCATATTGAAATAAATACAACTTACATTATGATGAACATGAAATAATTTTGTTTTAAATGATGCATAGACTGATAACTTCCAGTATAGATCATTTTTCGCTTAAAATAGATATTTTAGAAGAGTTCAGATTTCATCTGGTTTCTCAATAAAAAAGAAAAAGAAAAGCATTCAATTTGTTTATTTGAACCTGCACTTCAAAAATATGAACATTTCCAAATGAATATTTAGAACGAAAATTGTTTAGTTTTTATCTAATTCTCATGAAAAAACCAATCTTTTAAGATAGTCTAAGATAAATATTCGAATGGAAATGGTAGACATAGACTACTTTAAATTCTAGTATGTATACAATGAGAACCAAAATTATTCAGCGACGTTTATTTTAAATTCTTTTCCTCGATCGTAGACGTTAAAAATATTCTCATTACTAATTCGAGTTGAGAGAACTTTTTCCAAGACGAATACAAGAAAATCAAAATGATTATTAGATTTTCAAAGATAAGGGCACCGGAAAACCCAAAACCTAGTTTTTAAGCACCTAGAAAGCGTACGTATAATTTTATTTAGACTACGTAGAACACTAGAGTAAACAATCCTCTGCAAAATAAGTTGTCTCCAAGTTATCTGCGACATTTTTTTGGCTGAGATACAGTAACTTGATTCAAGGTCGAAAACCCACTTTTCTATAGGAAACAGTAACTAATCGCTTTGAGGGGCATGCGTAAAATTGCTGTATCTCAGCTTAAAAAAATGTTGTGAAAAACTACGTAGGAGATATTTCATTTCGTAGAGAATCGTTTGTTCTATCGCTCTATGTAGTCTCAACAACATTAAATTTATGCGATTCAGGTTCTGAAAAGCTAGGTTTCGGCTTTTTGCAGTTCTTACCTTTGAGAATCTGATAGTAATTTTTATTTCCTTATATTCCTATTGGAAACAATTTTTTTCTAATCATATTACTATTTGGATTCTTTCTAGCGCTTACAACAACGGAAACAATTTGAAAATAAACCCTGCCGAATAATTTTAGTGCTCACTACGTGTGATATCTACTTGAATCCGTTCTTTCGAGTATGAAAGAAGCAGAAAAATTTATGACACATATGACAATGTAGACATATCGTGAAATTTTATTTTGAGAATTTCTCATGATCAAAAGGCCTTGTTTCAGATGAAGTCAAATTTGAAAGAAACCACCAACGATTTTTTGATAAGTCAATCGGATACACACAGAACAGGACTTTGCGTTTGATGTCTCATGGAACGGGATGGAACGAATCTTTTTTAAACAAATCCAATACGACACGATGAAGTAAAACTTTTTTCGTGGAGATTCTATCAAAGAATTGCTGCATTTTGTCGCTAAAACTATAGTTGTTAAAGTAAGTGATGTCTTTTAATGGTTTCGGTCCTCTTTTAATAGTTTTTCTATATACAAATTGACATTCTCAAAAGATTTTTCAAAAAGAATGTAAACTACTTAAATAAGCCACATACGGGGAAAAGTATAGTTTTAACAAAAAAACGAACTAATTTTGTCATGGAATCTCGCCAAAAAAAGTTTTATTCTGTCTTTTCTTATAGAATTTTTTGAAAAAGTTTTGTCCCATTCCGTCTCATTGGACGTCCCACGCAGAGCCCTGACACAGAAACATTCAAAGTTAAAACTTATTTTGTTGAACAGGACGTTGAACATTATCAGCATGTGAACATAACGTTACATAAATATGCACATTTTAAGATCTGTTCGAAGATAAAATATCGATTAAAATTTATTTCGCTAGAAGAATTAATATATAATATTAGCATATTGTCTTTCATATTTTTTTGTGAAACTATTTGTTTCTGATATCCCAAGGAAATAAACAGAGATTCAACGATAGAGAGTATTTTATTGTCTTACCACTACAGATTATGCCAATACTTACTATCTATATCTTAATAATGATGCAAATTATGAAAAAGAAATAAAAAATATCTATCCTCATCGTTTGAAATAATCAACATTAAAATGCAATCGTAAAAAAAGATGAATATTTTTTTCTATCTATTTGTTTTTATTTCCTTTTTCAATACTAAATGCCAAAAGATTATACGTTACATAAAAATCGGTGCGGGTGTCGGTGTGGGTGTGTGGGTGTGAGGTGTGGGTGTGGAGTGTGGGTGTGGGTGTGGTTCTTTGCAATTGGTACAGGCATGCACACTCACATCCCACACCCCCACCCCCACCCAAACTCACCCACATCCACACCCTACGCATAATTTTCAGTGTATTTTTTATTTTTTCTATTACTGTTGTATTGAACTGTTCTATTTTCTAGGTTTTTATTCATGTTTAGCTATTTTTTCGTTCTAGCAAGTCAAGAAAAGAACATAAAAAATGAAAATGGCCCATAAGTCTCAATGCTAATGAAATTCTGATCGATAAAGTTTTTACAAATCATCTGAACGCCTTCTAAAAATCCCGAAACCACTTCCATCGAATTCTGCATAGTGTTTAATCTAGTCTATCTTATTTCTACGAGTTTTGAACGAAAAATGCATTTTTTATTGAAAAATCACTTGGCCGATTATAAAGTGTTCTTATTGCAGACGCCTTTCCTGAGCACAGGAAAATAATATAAAAGAAACCGAGCCATATTTTTGTTGCTCGTTAAACGGCGCTTCGAATGACGTATGAATGAAAACTCTATCATCAACAGAAAAAACTAGATAGGTTTGCAAAATTAGATAGTGCAGAGAGAGCAGCACGATAGCATGGCTTTCGAGATTGAACATATAATATGCAATAAAGTTCTAGATAATGTTTCTAGATTCATTTTTATATGAGGAATCCGAAAATTATATTTGTGACAGCGAAAAGTGAGACGGCAAAGGAATAAATGTTGTTTGTCTATAACTAATTTTTTGCTGATTTTGATACCCTCTATGTATTTTGCGTTTTTCTCTATAACGATTTCTTTAAATCAAAAAAAGTAAGTATATATTCGTGATCAGCATGAAAAAAACAAATCTAGAGATGTATGTTTAAGCTAAAAACAAAAAGTGCTGTAAATTTGAATTACCGGCGCCGTACATTATAGTTCTTACTGGTGACAGTAAGTGGGGCACTTAGAAACTAATAACATATAGAAAAATTGTCCAAATCGGTCAACGAGAAGAAAAGTTATTAGATAAATACAGCTAAAATCTCAATCGTACCAAAAAATTGTAATTTACTCATATGTTCTACCATTCCAAAATCTTTGGATTATTGATTAACAAGTAACGATATCTATCGAAATGATTTATCGCTCTTTGGTTTGTTTGTAATTGGTAAAATATGGACTGATGGATTTGAATGCAGTTTTATGATGCGATGAAACATTCTTGGAATTTTAATTTAGTACAATCTACTAATGTTTGTCTCTTCATTGAGTATCCGTCATTTGTTTAATAATATTATTATTGGATTAAATAGTAAACAATTATTAATTCAAAGTAAATTGGTAAGATTAATTGATAAATATTAGATTATTCTGCTAGGTACGTGTTGTGTTCGATATCAAAGCCAATTAAATGTAGCTCGATCATCAAAACAATGCGATTCAGTTTCTGATGAATTTTCATCAAATGAAAATGAACAAGAATTGGGTTTATTTAAACATTTTAATATTAATAAACAAACACAAAAACGATTACAAGGTTTTTTTTATTCAATCAACAATAATAAATGAATCATTTTTCTAATTAAATTTTAGCTCGAGGTGTTGAATATTTATTTCCTGTTCAATATCGTTCATATAATGATATCATGTCTGGAAAAGATTGTATTGTTCAAGCACGTCAGTTTATAGTTTTTAAAAATACTTTTCAATATATTTTTCTTTATTTTCAAGGTACTGGAACAGGAAAAACATTAGCTTTTAGTCTTCCAATAGTTGAACGTCTTCAAACTGAAATGTCAAATGTAGGGGGTCGTTATCCTCGTTGTTTAGTATTAGAACCAACTCGAGAACTTGCCAAACAAGTTACAAATGATTTTCTTTCAATAAAATCTCGTTTACTTTCGATATCAACACTTTATGGTGGAAAAGAATATTCTCGACAAGAATTATCATTAAAAAAAGGTTCAGATATTGTTATTGGTACACCTGGAAGAATTAAAGATTTTTTAAATCAAAAAAAATTAAATCTTCATCAATGTCAAATTATTGTTTTAGATGAAGTTGATAGAATGCTTGATATGGGATTTCAAGTAATATTTTTTTTTCTTATTGTTTGAAACTTTTGTAATAAAATTTTGTCGTTTTAGGATGATGTTGATTATATCATTAAAACTATTCCTCTATCTCAAATGATTGTATTTTCTGCAACTATACCTTTATGGTTAAAAAAAAGTGTATCTCGTTATATGTCACCAACAAATAAATCATTTATTAATTTAATTGGTGATTCGCAAGAAAAAACCGCTATGAATGTTGAACATTTATCATTTACATTAAATAATCTTTCTAAAAGACCACAAGTTGTTTTAAAATTATTGGAAAAATATTCGACAAATATAAATCAAAGTCAAGCAATTGTTTTTTGTCAAACAAAACATGAATGTGATTTATTATCGAGATCAAATGAAATGAATTCAATCTCATCAGATGTTCTTCATGGAAATCTTTCACAAAGAAAAAGAGAACAAGTTTTACAAGTAAAACAAGAAAAAGAAATGTTTTTGTTTTTGTTTTTATTAAATTTTTGTCAATATTTTAAAGAATTTTCGTCAAGGTCAAATTCGTGTATTAATAACAACAGATGTTTCAGCACGTGGTCTGGATGTTCCACAAGTTGATCTTGTTATTCTTACTTCACCGCCACAGGTTTTTGCTTTGATTTATTTAAATAAATATGTACATTGATTTGTAAATAAAATAGGATTGGGAATCATATGTTCATCGATCTGGTAGAACAGGAAGAGCTGGAAAACAAGGGAAATCGATTTGTATTTATACTAATGATCAATTTAAACAATTAAAACTTGTTCAAAGAAATGCTGTATGTTCTTTCTGTTTGATTTCGGTTCATTTTTTACAATGATTTATTTTAGAATATTCAATTTACTAATATTCATCCAGATTCTTTTCATGAACAAATTTCAATGAGAA